AACATTTCTTTAACATTGAAATTTTTGCCATTAAAAACTTGACAACGTCTGGTTGTCACTAATCATTTTAAAAAGCTGCCTTATTCAGGGGAAGATAGAGAGAAAACGGAAATGCAAAGCACTAGTACGCACCCCTCAGCTGTAGGAAAACGTAGCTCAAATAACACGGGTTTTTTTGTTTCTGAAAACAAACACGTGGCGACTGCTCCAGGCTCCCCTTGGTCAGTGAATGGCGCAGTCGATCCCGAAACTTTCCAACTAGAGCGGACTTTCTCACCCAGTGCACCAAGATACAGGCTTTAGGATTGCTTTCTAAGCCAAAGGTTCTTAATTCTTTAAATGGGGTAAATAGGACCCAATTCGGGAGGTTAGAGCGTTCCGCGGAGCGCCGGGAGCGCAGAACGCGAGGAACCACTCCCCCCACCCCTTCCTCCCCTACCCCCACCTCCCCCCGGACGCGGAAAGGCGCGAGACCCCGGGGCTGAGGGCCAATCCGACGTCTTCGTAGAGGCGGAGTCACCGAAAAGGCGCTGAGAAAAGAGGCGCCAAGGAGGGAGTTCACTGCCTTCCCCCAGTAGTCCTGGTCCCTGCGGCCGCGCCGGCACCATGCCCGCTTCAGGCTCCGAACTGTCGGACTTGCAGTCGCCGCCCGCCTCGCAAGAGTGGGGCGCCGAGCCGCCTCCTCACGGGGAGCTGCAGTACCTGGGGCAGATCGAGCATATCCTCCGTTGCGGGTTCCGGAAGGGCGACCGCACCGGTACTGGCACCCTGTCGGTGTTCGGCATGCAGGCGCGCTACAGCCTGAGAGGTGACCGCGGCGTGCAGGGGCAGGGGAGGGCGCGCACCCAGGTGGGCTCCGAGCTGCCGCTGCAGAGAGGCGGGGCCTGCGGTTAACGTTTACTGTTAACTTCAATCCGGTGAGATGGAGAAAACATCCTTAACCTCGCTTAACCCACGCCGAAACTGAGGCTCGGATTAGGGAGCTGATTTGCGTAGGGTCACACGGACAAGAGTGGCAGAACTGGGAGGTGAAATCACGCAGGTCCTTCTGGCTCCAAGGACTCCGCTGTTAATCACCCCATTATGCTGTCTTCCTCAAAGCGGGCCAGACCCAATATTGTTTGCCTCGTACTGGAGTGGGAGGCGATCTGCCCGGGCTTGACCGAAGAGTTTGGGCAGAGGTCAGGTTCTCCCCCTCCCTTCACCTCCCCTCCCCGTGTTGGCGCGTTCAGCCTTGCAGTTTTTCTTTCAAAATTTGCAGCCAGTAAGTATTACTTGGGCGGGGCAACGAAGGCGGGAAGAGAAGGAAACGAGGCAGGGGCAGGAACTTGTGGTTCATGATATCACGAACCACCTATGCTCTTAAACCTTGAAACGTGAACTGGACAGTCGAGTATTTCTTCCTCTTCCTTTAAAATAGATGGCACCAGGGAAGAAGTGTCTCGGGGGTTGTTGGGGTTAGGCTTTCAGGGGACAAAGGGACGGGGTAGGGGTGGGCACAGGACATACAAGAAAATGTATACACATTTTAAGGAAGGAAAAAACTATTAAAACTGTAACACTCAATATATACTGATAACAAAAGAAGTCATGCTTGACTTATGCAATTACAAGAGGTGCTCAAAGTGGTTACCATCAGCGTCCAGACACTTCTGATTACTGCGAACTAGTGCTTGAGGAACGTTGACCACAGTGTCCACTTGTGCACATATTTTGGCACTCCCCGATATATCCTTGACACATGTTTGGAGGGTGGCTTTGAGTGGGCAGAACCACTATTGGTGAACCGGATGAACTGTGCTCAGGGGAGAAAACCTCTACTCCACCCTTTTTGGAGACTGGAAAATACCCGTCTGCAGCTGCTAAGCTGTCTGGGACAGCTTGGGCAATTTTGTTGAGCAGAGGGATCTACCTTCCTGCAGCTCCAAGTGCTGAGGCCTCCAGTGAGCAACAGACCTAGTTTTTACTCCAGCCTTTCTGCTTAGACCTTGTTACTTAACCTCTCCATGTGCTCAAAATGGAGGAAATAATGTTCAGGCAATACTGATAACAAGTAGGTGCTTGAAAAAAATCTGTCCTTGTTACATGAATATCAACTATTCAACTGAATAGGTACCAAATTTAGAGATAAGCAGTTTCATTTTAGTTTCTCTATTGCTTGATGCAAACTTCTGTATTCCCTCATGGTGCCTGTAAAGTGGAGATTGTAAAGGTGCCCCAAGGAGGGTTGTTTTGAGGGTTAAATAGGATCATGCATATAACTTGTTTAAACAGTTACTAATTTTGGTACACTTAAAACACAGGTTAATTTGCTTTGCAAATCTTTAAAAACTAATTTTTCAGTTTTGGCCAGTGTGATGTCTATCGCCAGGTCTTGAGCAAGTTTTACTTGGCAGGATAATTCAGCTCTGGGAGCTTTCAGGCTTTGTCGCGGGGCACACTTTGTGTGTTGTCTTCACATCTCTGCGAAGCAGTCACATTAACAGGGTAGTTGTTGGTCGCTCTTTCCCTTGTTCCCATGTTCCCATGGGCATCCCTGCCTGGCCCTTGCCCCATCTCACTGTGTGGAATTCTTCTGTCCAGTGGGTGAGGGGCTCAAAAGGGTAGTCTCACTCTGAATTACGTCACTGACTTACACTGCAGCCTGGGAGTTCCACCCTCATCCAGGTGCCTCACTTGGCAGGAGTTGAAGTTTTCCAGTTGTCCCTGTTGTCACTCCAGGACCTAACATCCTGGGAAGTTTTCTTCCACAAAGAAAGTTGGATGGATTGTTCTATTTTCCCATCTTGAAATTTTATCGCAAACTGTTTTTCAGATGAATTTCCTCTGTTGACAACCAAACGTGTATTCTGGAAGGCCGTTTTGGAGGAGTTGCTGTGGTTTATTAAGGTAAAAAAGGGAGGAGAGAGGATAGGCACAAAGCCCAGGCTGTGTGGCACCATAGCCTTGTTTGTAACCATTACGGCACATCATAGCTGAAGGCGCTCGAGGCCAATGGGGGTCTGCCCTTGACCTGGATGCATAGTAAGGATACAGTTAGTATGACAAGGGCCAAATCTAATAAGACAAAATATGAGAAATAAACATAAGGCTTGTACTTGGTAAAACAAAA